CGATTAGGTAGGAATAGCTTTTTTTGTTGATGAATTGGTAGGAACCGAAGTAGTTAGCAGTCTTATCAAAATGAGAAGAAAAGTAAATTAGTGTTGTGGGCCCATGATTTTGTTGGACAAAAATTAGAGGAGAAAAAAAAAATAGTGAATATGGGCCCACGCTTTGCACGTGAAAATGAATAAGAAAACACGTACGGTGTCATTTAGGGGTCAAAAGTGAATTAAAAAAAGTGGAAATTATATTGGGAAGCGCTGTAAAAAATTTCCTCCGCATTTATAAGATATATATATATATATATATATTTACATGGTCCAGTAAGTACACACATGGTCCAGATTTTTGTAAATGACTAAAATAGCCACTCAGACTTTAATATGCTCCAATTTCATCATTAACATAATTTAACCTCAATTTGACCCCAAATTTCACAAATTATTCAATTTTGACCCAAAACGTTTTTTTTTCAAAATTTGTTTTTTTCAAATTTTTTTTTTGCCGCCGATCTCCGGCGTTGACTTTTCATTTTTTTTTTCTTCCAGATTTTTTCGCCGATTTTCGGCGTTGACTTTTTCGATTTTTTTTTCTTTCTTTCTGTAACATATTTTTTTAATATTAACTATATTACTGTTAAACACAGTAAAATTAACGAAACTACTGTTTAACACAGTAATATTGCTATATTAATCTCTAGCACAGTAATATTAACACAACAAAACTCATTATTATTGTATAATAGAGTAATATTACTATGTTGACCGTTCAACAAATGTAAACATAATAAAAAGCCAAAAGAATTAATATTACTGTGAGTGACAGTAATATTACTATAACAACAGTAATATTACCGTCAACCACAATAATATTATCGTGTTTACAGTAATATTACAATAATAGACAGTAATATTATTACGTTACTCCGTGAATAACTCAAACAAAACAAAAAACCCAAAAAAATAATAATATTGATGTTGTTTACAGTAATATTATTGTGTTTACAGTTATTTTAATGTCAACGACGGTAATATAATTACGTTGACTTGTCAACAAATCAAAAAAAATAGAAAAATAGCAAGAATAAAAAATAATAATATTACGTTAATTTACTTGTCACGGCAGAACAATTACATAAATGTATTG